TCCCTAGCTTCAAACAATGGCACTTAAATCTTTTCACTAGTTTCAAACGAATGAGTTTCGATAGATCGGTGAAGTCAGATGACCTCTACCTTCAAACAATGGCACTTCATCTTTTCACGACTTCAAACTACAAAATTTTAATGGATTGGTAAATTCTTTAACAATGGAACTCATCTTTTCTCCGGCTTCAGAAGACCAAATTCCGACTATGACAACCTAATGTTTCTAACTTTGAAGTTCACAAACCATGTGTTATCTTTCAAGATCTTTTGTGAGAAGTAAACATGTTTTCATTTTCTTACTAATGATTGTCGCCAATCACCCTATTCCCAATAAGTGAGAACCATTTATCGGGGTGTTCACGAGTCAGGTCAAGTAGGGTTTTGCTTTGGCCCGTCACCCAAACTAAATTTTTCAAAATGGAAATTTCATCAACCGATTCCAATCGTACAACCGTTTGAAACTATACTATTGAAAACCAATTTTGGCAATCAAACTTCAATTGAGTACAATTGGGCAAAGCTGGTGAGCTTGCCTTTCTTTTCAAACCCAAATCTATACATATTTGTGCAAATATAAAGATTTGAAAGACAAAAAACAAAGAAAACCATATTTATGTATATAATATGTATAGATCTTAGGGGTGAAAGTTTAACCGACACAACCGAACAGACCGACAAAACCGGCCGAAAAAAACAATTCTCGGTCTGTTTAATCCCTTAGAACGGTCGGTGCGGTTTGAATTTTATTAAATTTTTTTGACTCGGTTCGGTTGCGGTTTTCTTATATGAGAGACCGAAACCCACCGAACCAGACCGTTTGTTATTTTACATCCCAACCATCCACACATATCCTAGAAGTAATCTGAGTCGTCCACACATGTAACATATATATCGCCCTCAATCATCACTCACACAGCAACTAAACCCCTTATTGCTCCTCTCTCTCTCTCTCCAATAGCTTTTGTAATCACCATCAAAGTCCATAAAGCTTTGGCTCATCGATGTCTTCGATTTACCACTCTCATCCAGATCTAGCATCTAGTAATCCATGTATATGCTGCATGACAGAGATCCTCATCTTCCTTACCAGATCTGGAAAGTGAATTGAATATCTTCCATGGGTGGTGATTTCTCTCTACTTCTATTACTCCACATCTTTCCGTAGAGCTTTTATTGTTCTGTTTCAAAATTCTACGATTTTGAGTTCTCATTTTTCTATGCTCCTTCTCTTCTGCCATGGAAAGTGACCTTTTGGGTCTTCAAATATTTTCTTCTCTCTGTTTGATTTATGAGAAAATCAAGAAAAATAGAGTAAAATAAATATTTACCATCTCCGAATAAACCGAACTGAAACCGACCGTACCGATATAGAACGGTTTGGGACGGTTGAAAGCTTTACTTGGTCAGTGTCGGTGCACCCATATACAAAACCGAAGGGTTCGGTTCGGCGATATTTTTGCTCAATAACCGACCGAACCGAACCGATTTCACCCCTAATAGATCTGAGGAGTTTGGGGGGGAAAAAACAAAGAAAATCATACAAATGCAGATCTAAGAGTCTTCAAAGAAGAAGAAAAAAAAAAGATCATATCAATTTCAGAATCTCCCTGTCAAATGGCTTGTTCTCCCAGGTCGGAATAGGCCGGTCAATTCCTTCCCTTAAAACTGTACTTGAGAGTTTCCTACCTCATACGGCTTAGCCATCAATTATTTTGGAGATTTGTAATTCTTCTGTTTTATTGGATGGAATTTCAATGAATTAGATCTCTAAGAACCGCAAAGTCCTAGCTTTCAATACAAAATAAATCATTGAAAGCTCGAATTTCTAGCCCATCCTGTTTTGGTCGAACATCGAATACAAATATGAGAGAGTTGAAAAACAAAAACAAAAAAAAGGAAACCATATAGCTACATATATAGATTTGAGAGTCTTTAACCAACAAAACCAAGAACAAACACAATTGTCCATCATCATCTTCATCACTATGTCACCAATCCTCATCTTCAACTTTGTCATTTTGCCGCCAATCTTACTTTGCAGTCTGCCGATCTCCAACTTTAGGGTTTCGAAAAAAGGGTAAGAAAGAGGGGTTTCAAAGGTGTAGATTGAACTTTGAAGCTGAGGGAGGGCTTTGAGATATTGAGATAAGAGAAATGATGGCTTAGGTTCAGATCATTGTGAGAATGAAGAAAAGTAGGAGAGCTTGATACAGAGTCGAAAATGAAAGACTGTCCTGATCGAGTTGATAGAGAGATAAGGATGAAAATCCACTAAGCAAATGAAATGGTGACTTATGTATTTCTTTTCTTTATCTTTTAAATATTAGTTCATCATTTTGGTTTAAAAGGATTCTTCATGCCTCACTTGCCAGACGGCCAGGATCCAAAACTTTTATGACAAACCAAACTGTTGCCAACAATTTCTACTCACGAAACCATCCAAAAGCAACTTGGGTCGAGCGGGTCAAACAAGTTGATCAGGTTAATCAATTATTTGAACACTCGTAGGATAAATCAATAACTTGATTTATTTATTTGGATATATCAAGTATGCAGTGCAGGTCACCCAAGGAAATGCTTCGATGTATTTATTGTCAAGATTTTGATGCTTTAATTTATTTATCTAATACTTACTTATTTTGACATGCTTTGACATATTTATTAATGGATTGTACACAAAAATTAAAATATTTGATATGTCAAATTCTACTAGTATGTAAATAATTTTAAACTACAATATTTATAATGATATCCGAAAAAACACTATTACCAGTACCAACAATAAAAATATTACCCATGACTGGTATGAGATCAAAACATTGATCCAAACATAACCTACATTAGGTGTGTTTCACAGATCAACTCAGGTCAGACTTATCATATACCCACGACCTGAACCAATCATATTGGGCAGAAGATGAAAACATCCAATTTCAATAGACTAGGTGCTTGAAACCGGACAGTTTCCAGTTGAATCATTTTCAATCAGAATGTTGAAATCGACCACTCCATAACGTTAAGAGTTTAACCCAAAAATTATGAAAATTTATAATCCCAAAACTTAAAACAAAGATTATGGGGAAAGGGGAAGCATGAGAGATTGATTTTAAAGAGAAGGGGCTTTGGGTGAGAGTGAGAGGGAGGGGGAGGGGTGAGAGAACAGAGAGGGAGGAGGGAGGTTTGTGACTGAGACGCGACGAGATGGCAAAGCAATCTCCAAAGATGACAACGGAGGCGACATGATCTCCAATGGCAAAGGCAAAATGGTAATGAGAAGCAGTAGCAATGGTGAAGGTGAAGGCGAAGGCGAAGGCGAAGCAGCAAGAAGTAGCAGTGATAGTTAAGCCCTTGTCGAAGTAAGGTTCTTTATTGTTTCTATTACAAACAATCTTCAACAAAATGAAAGTTTTAGATTGAGTTTCGAAATGAAAAGAAGTGTAACTATGATGTGGTGCAAATAAAAAGTTGGAATTGTAATTATGATGGTGAAGTCGAAAAAGTTGAATAACATGGAAGAAGTGTAATGATATCTTGGGTTACTCAAAAAAAGTTTTTTTTTTTTGGGATAAATAAGCACTCAAAAAAGAAAATATGATTGCAATGTTTTTTTGTCAAGACGATAAGATTGCAATATCTTTAGCTAATAAAAAGAAGACACTTGACAAGAGAGCTCTCCTCTTTAATATATTGGTCAAGTTGGGACAAACAATTTTGGGGTTCTTTATCCGATACACGACAGCAAAATCAAAAAAAATCAGTGATCTTAACTTGTGGTTGACCAAAACTGTTGCCGAAACCGTCCATGGGTCGGGTCGGGTCGGGTCGGGCAGATTGGTCATATCAGCTGGATATTTAAACAGCCCTAGCCTAAATGGACTATATAACAACCAACAACCTGGTAACACTATGCAATGAAAGTAGAAAGTTGGATAAGGATAACGGTGCCATAAAAACTCAATCACTATATTATTTTCTAAGATCTTATTTGCAAAAAATTGGATTTGCATAAAATAAACAAATCTGACAAGTTTTTCAACAAGAAACAATCAACTCATATTCAACTTTATAGACATGATCTCCATCTTCTGATGGGAATGAACATCTTGCACAACATAAAATCCACTTGAATAATGTAACATTCCCACATAATCCAAGTAAAAAAAATTGCAAAGGTACCAAAGCATCATCCAAACAAATTTTCACAATATTGATATGGTTAGTATTTATAGTGTCGAAATACTCACATTTATCTCTGTAATTTAAAATAAAGAAAATAATATTTTTAGCAAATTTGAAGAATAAAGAAGGATCCTAAGACGAATCAAACAAATCTCACGTTTAATTGCAGACACAGAGTTCACATGTAAGTGCATCTCCAATCATTCACCAATTCTTTCATCAAATTAAAATTTGACTAATATAGAGCTGAAAGTGAGCTCCGGCAAAATTTTCACCAAATCAAGGATGAACCAAATCATTCACCAAATTTCCAACAATCATATTTTTACTCAAATTTGATGAAATTTTAAAAACAATAAGGACTGGAGATGATTTTCTTTCATCAAAAATGGTTAAAGCATGTTTTTAGGATAATTTTGAAATTTTCAAAAAGATTTGATGAAAAGAAAAGAAAAAAAAAAATTTTGAAGTGTTCCATATCAGATCAAGCATTTAACCAAATTTTCACTAAAATTTGATAAATAAATATATAAACAGAAGAGAGAGAGAGAGAGAGAGAGAGAGAGAGAGAGAGGGAGAGGAGATGCTCTAAGACAAATAAAATAAAATAAAAACTCACGTTTAATTGAACAAAGTTCACATTTAAAACCGAAACACTAATCAAAAACCCTAATTTCACACTGACTTACATGAAATTCTTCAAAATTCCTCCAAATTAACATACACAACACATAAATGTACAAAATTAAGAGAATCCCCAAATTTATATATGTATATATATAAACTAGAAATCAAATTTAAACAAAATAAAAATCGTACCTTTAACGAGAAAGAATGGGTGTGTGAAGCAAGATCAGCGTCGTCGGAAAAGATCGACCATGAAAGCCTTCGATGTTGTTAGAGCGAGAAGATCATCGAAATCGAAGAGAGAGAGAGAGAGAGCTTGATGGTCGTTTGTAACACCTGTGTGCTGTATGGGTGAGATTTAGGAGTTGTTTCGTAGTTCTAAATATGTGTATTTTTTGATTTTTTATAAAAGAATGTGTAGAAAAGTAGAGAGAAGATATTGATTGATGTGACTCAAAAAAGATAAAAAGATAAGAAGTATGGACTTATTTAGTCTTTCCAAACAAGACTTTAATAAAGTTGCTTAAAGTGGCGTGTTGTATGGATAAGATTTAATATTAAAAAATTAATGTGATTTGTTATACAACACACCACTCTAGGAAATTTTAGAAGAAAAAAAAACTCTAATTTCCCGAATTATTTAGGAGGATCAAAAACAAATCACCTTGCTTGTTTTTACTTTTCAAAAAATATTTTTAAGAAAATTTTATTTTCTTATTTTTTGTGTTTTTTTATTTTTATTGAATTTTTTTAATATTTTAAGTTTTTTTGTGTTTTTTTATTTTTACTGAATTTTTTTAATATTTTAAGTAATTTTTTTACTTTTTAGACACACCTAACATAAATACACTTAAAAAGTAAAAAATATGTAAAAAAAATCTTTTAAAAATTCACTAAATACCAAAAATACAAAAAAATACAAGAATTCAGTACATTTTTTTATATTTTTATGTATTTATTAATTTTTTAAAATATTTTTTCACAAAATTTTTACTTTTTAGATACATCTAAGTTATTTTTTCTCAAAATTTTTACTTTTTAAATACATCTAAGTAAGGTGCATCTAAAAAAGTAAAAAAAAATGTTTAAAATTTAAAATATATTCACTAAAAACAAAAAAATAAAAAAACTAAAAAAGTCAATTTTAAAAAAACTTAATTCAGAAAACTCAAACCAAACACACTGATTATATTTTTGATACTATATATAAAAATATGTAAAGTGTGTAAAATAAGAGAGAGTAATGTGCAAGAGAGAAATATAATGTGATTTAAATAAAAAAAGATGATATAATTTAAATAAAATTAAAAAAATATACGTTAAAGTAGCACATGTGAAAAAAAGTTAGTCAAATTATAAAATCAACTTTGCATCTCAGTGGGGGTGACCCCCAGTGCCACGAGTCGGCCTGGGATGGCTAAAAACCAAAAAATAAATAAAAAATTGATTTTTGGACCAATCACAAAGGACTCCCAACACTCTCATTGGGGTCTCAAGCTTTATTCTTACAAAATATGTCGATAACTATCATAAATTAGTAAAATATTTTTCTTTAATTAAAATTTTATTTTATTTTTAAAAGGTGAGCGTCAGTTTTATGGTGATTTTATTTTATAAGGATAAGAAGGATTTTGATTGTCTCTGGTTAAAAGATAAATTAAATTAGACAATTGAAAGTTAAATTAAACCAAACAATTGAGATCTCTGATCGGTAAGAATCATTAAATGAAAGATTTTTACCGGTACAAATTTATAAAAATATGGTCTAATTGAATTTTTCAAAAACTCTTACTATAAAAGTCTTCTATTTAATGACTCTTACCAGTTAGAGTCATTTGTTTAATAATTCAGTTATCTGATCCAGTTGAAATTTCAACTGAAGATAAACCATTCTCTAAAATTAATTAACTATAGCATTTTTTTTATATTTATTTTCTACAATGGTTATGTATTTGTCTTTATCTATTATTATATATCATATTTCATTTATAATTTATAATTAATTATTTTTTAGTTTTCACTATTTTTTTATAGGAGTTTTTTTTTAAGGTCCCTGATATTATGATTTTATAGCACCCAAATCTGTTCTTCGCTTTTTTCCAGTTGAATTTTTCAATCAAAAGTGTTTCTCTGTTGAGCAATGTTCAACTGAATTCAACTAGAAAAATTTCACATTGTAATATGTAAGCAACATTATAAGGGATAACAATGGCAACTTACCAGAACCAGAGAAATTTTGGAAAAATCTGAGAATTTCTCTGGTTTGTTATTGAAATATCAATTGAGAATACTTTCCATTATCAAATCCCTGCTAAGGTTTCCTATGTCCTCAAACATTGATAGTCTGCTCTAAGCAACAAGTTACAAAATTCTCTAGTTTGGTTGGTCTGAATGTAAGCAACATTAGAATGGGATAACAATGGCAACTTACCAGAACCAGAGAAATTCTGGAAAAATCTGAGTATTTCTCTGGTTTGTTATTTAAATATCAATTGAGAATTTCTTTGGTTTATTAAAAATAATAATTGAGAATTTCTCTGGTTTGCAATATCTGAAAAAATTTCTGCAACTTACCCAAATCTGTTCTTCGCTTTTTTCCAGTTGAATTTTTCAATCAAAAGTGTTTCTCTGTTGAACATTGTTCAACTGAATTCAACTAGAAAAATTTCACATTGTAATATGTAAGCAACATTAGAAGGGATAACAATGGCAACTTACCAGAACCAAAGAAATTTTGGAAAAATCTGAGAATTTCTCTGGTTTGTTATTGAAATATCAATTGAGAATACTTTCCATTATCAAATCCCTGCTAAGGTTTCCTATGTCCTCAAACATTGATAGTCTGCTCTAAGCAACAAGTTACAAAATTCTCTAGTTTGGTTGGTCTGAATTTTCTCTAGATTGTTGGATTGAATTTTCTCTGGGTTTGATGTGTATATAAAAACCAGTTTGTGTGTATACTTTTAAAAAAATCAAATTATTTATTTTATTTTTTCCTTTTGTTATTTATTTGTTTAGTTTATGATATTTGAGATCAAACTCTAGGGTGTAGAAATTTCATATTTGAGGTTGCAGAGTTTGTGTTTTGCCATTACTTTTCCATTCTTAGTTGGAATTTATGCCAAAAAGAGTTTATATACATATCTCTGTAACTATACATATCTATTTGGTCAATCCAAACCACAGAATTTCTCTGGATCAACCCAGAGAAATTTTAGTTCAAGCTAGAGAGTTGAACCTAGAGAAATTCTGAATTTTCTCTGGGTTGAACCTGAGAAATTCTGAATTTTCTCTAGAACTATAAAACTCTGATTTGAAGAGTTTAATGTGACCAGTATAATTTGCCTTTTGAATTATGAATTGAAATACCTGGGGGGGACTCTTTTCTTGAAAGTGATGAGGAAGGCGAAGATTGCAGTGAAGAAATGAGTGGTGGAGCCAATGGCTTGGTTAAATGAGACAGGTAGGTAGCGTGGTTTTTTGGCATTACAGTTTTCTTCATCATTACGATACAATAAACATGCAGAGTCAAACAAATGAATGTTTTCCTAGGTATCTCTAAGATTTAATATTTGATGTCATCAGGATATACAAAGAAAATGAGCAGCATCGTAGTTATTGGGCTCAGTGTCCACACTACACATGTTGAAATACGTGAAAAACTTGCCGTTCTTGAAGCAGAATGGCCTCGAGCCATTGCAGAGCTGTGTAGTTTGAATCATATAGAAGAAGCTGTTGTTCTTAGTACCTGCAATAGGATGGAGATATATGTTGTAGCTCTGTCTCAACATCGTGGTATGGCGAAGAAGCTGTTGTTCTAGATCTCTCAACAAGATGAAGAAGCTGCTGTTCGAAAGAGCGAGAATGGCGAACGAAGCATGTGGCTCGTAAACCCTAGACGAAAGACAACCGATTCATTGCCATCGAGTAGATCGATGTGTCTCTGGCGGAGGAGCTGAGTGTAGGAATGAGAGAAACTGGTCAAGGGTTGGGGATTTGGAGCCAGCGGTGATCAAGCTCAAGACAACGTGGATGGAGAGGGGATGGGGTGAGGGACCTTAGACTACAAAAGAACAGATTGTGGACCTAATCCATTACTAAAAGTTGGATAGGGACCTTAGACCGATTTTCGGGATTTTTTTTAAGGCCCTTCGTATTAAGATTTTATAGCATAAAGGACATCTAATATTTTCATAATGTCTAAAGTCCGTCAAGTTGATCCAGAGAAAATTGGTCCAGAGAAAATTAGTCCAGAGAAATTTCAAATTTCTCTAGCCTCTTTAGCCTTTCATGGACTCTCCAGAGAAATTTCAAATTTCTCTGTCTTCCATATACTTCCCACTCTCCAGAGAAATTTCTCTGCATTTCCACAACATTACCTTTCCAATGAAATTTTTTGGTCCCCTTGAAACAATGAAATCATACCTGGAAACATAGCAAGCCATTTAATCATTTGAGCTTCAAGTCCAGATTTCAACCTTTGTAACTCCCTGAATTTATTTCAAATTCTACACAAGAGTTTACTTCATTTTTGTTATCTGCAGTTTGATGGCTTCAGTGACTTGGATACATATTCACAGAGAAAATCTCATCACCAGAGAATTTCTCTAGATTCAATCCAGAGAAATTCTTTAAAACCAGAGAAATTTTCTGCATCACCCCCAAAAAAAAAAAAAAACAACCACCACCTAAAACAATGGCTTGAATTATTGAATGTCTCTGCAACTCTCTACATCATCCAACACTAGTTCAACTATGCACAACTTAGCAGCACAAATAACATAGGTACAAAAACCAATTTAAATTGAAATCTTCATCAAGTTGAATTGAGTGGTCTAGACTGAAGCTAGAACAAGTTTCAAATTATTAGTGTCTGATGGAAAAAGAAGCATCTTTTAAGCAATATAGTGGCTGTAATTCAATGATCTTGGAGGTTAAATGGTTTTACATATCAAACTTGAAAAAGAATGCAATCATTTTCATTTTCATCAAATAATTTTCAGTAACATACACTGCAAATAACTGAAACAGCAAGTAGTAGACATTCGAAAGCAAAAGAATATGTTTAACTGGGGAAACATTAACAATTGATTCTACAAAATACACAAAATTATGAAGAAATCTACTCACTTCAGCATGGGAGATAAAAGAAAAATATCAACACAATCTCTTAAAAACACCCAATTGCACACTATCTGCAATATCAAGAGATGAGGGTAAAAAAAAAAAAAATAACAAAAAAAATAAAGCTGAATTCTTATGAATCTCATCTACTAATCACTGAAAATGGAAAATTGCCCTCTAAATTAAGTATTAGTAAAGGAGCAAATGTACTGAGAAGAACAAATTTTATAT